ATTGGTTGTAGCCCACCTCGTGACATCAATAATTAAAGCTCCGACACTTCATATAACAAACATAACATAAAATTTCTCTCTCTAAAACTTGAGAGTTTCTCTCACTAAAGTGAGTCTCCCTTTGGCACTGGCGGAGCCAGGATTTTCAAATTGGGGGGACAAATTATGGATATAATATAAAAGCGAAGACAGTTGCATTATAATGTATTTAATCCTGATATACCAAAGCACCAACAAGAATAGAAGTATAAGCAATCACATGATAATGCACTAACAGGATTATAAGCAAAGGATATCACAAAATCTAAAGTGTTGCACATAATGACACTTAATCAACAAAAACATAATAAAAGCAGAACCAAATATACTTGCCTAATGGAAGTCCATTTAATATGGGCAGCTCCCAAAGATTGTGTTTGTACATAAAAATGGCTAAATGTTGCTCCTTCACCGATGATCACCTCAAGAACATAATTAGTCCAATAACACTTGTTACCATCTCCACCTAAAAACACCTCAACTATACCCACCTCTCCTCCCTTCTATCAACACCAATACTCTCGGGTTCGAAACCGGCAACATATTCGACTCGGCATCACTCCCTTTCAGTGAGAAAGACCTCAAATTTAAAGGGGCATCAACTCGGCACCCTTCAGGCACATAAATAAAGATCAAATCAGGAGCACCAACCCCATTTAAAGACCAAAACAAATCCCCTTCAATATTTGACACAAATTCCGATACCCTTTTCAGAATATATAGCCTCAGAAAATAAGTAAAGTATGGGGAGAAAGAAAGGGTTATTGGGTTAACAATTAAAATTGCAAATTGGGGATTTCAAATTTTCAATTAGAAGAACAAATTAATATATTTAAGAGTTAAGACATACCTTTAGATGCAGCGAAGACCAGAAGATGACCGAGGCGGCGACTGGCGACTGACGGACGACCGACGACGATGAGGGGTTTGGCAGGCAGCGACCGAGCGACAGACAGGACTTTGGTTTTTTAATTTTGGTGACTGTCGAACGGAATTGAAGGCTGTCCGCTGTGCGCTGTCGTCTGTCGAACCTCGTCATTGGCCTCACTGCTGCGAACTGCCGGAGAACGGTGGACAGCGTCAGGCGACTCTGGCGAGGTGAGGGCGAATCGAAGAGAGAGAAATTAAAAATTGAAAGACTTAGGGTTTGGCTGCAAATGTCGCACAGAGCACTCTGTAATTGCGTTTTTTTGTTTTTTTTTTAAATTTTTTTTTTTAATTTTTTTTTTTGAAAATGGGGGGACAAGTGTCCCCACTCGTCCCCTTCTAGCTCCGCCCCTGCCCTTTGGAGTTCTTGGTTTTCTCAAACCCTAACCCTAGTTCTTGGTTTTCTACTCAATATATCCTAAGTTCTTGCTTCTGTCACTTTCACAAGGAGATTGCCTTTTGATCTTCCAAGATTCCAATGCATGCTATGCCTAATTCCTACTCGGTTTTACAAAATCTTTTCCATAAAATCCCTTCCCTTTCTAGAAGCTTTTAATTTGGCCAATAGGATTAAGGGGTGTGCGTTTCATTTACCTTGAGGCCAGCAAACTCAATTTCTTCTTAACTCTTGCAAGAAACCGTTGGAGCATTTATGTTTAGACACTTGTTCCCCATGCATTTGGTTTGATTCATGCTCTGACAATTACCTTGGCTATTTAAATCGAGTAATAACTCCATTATCTTACAACTTCTCTTCACTTCTTCTCTTTGTCTTTTGTTTTCTTCTTGCTTCTGTCTTCATCTTCACTAATTATTCTCTAACTTATGGAGAATAATAACCCTCCTCCTAATGGAAATCAATCTAGACCTCACATAATGGGGTTTCTTGTTACTCCTCCTCAAAACTTTAATGCTCTAGGTATTATTAACTTCAATAGATGTGCTATTGGAGTTTTCATTGGTCCCAACCCACCCCCTGTTACTTACGTGCATCACATCATCAATCAAAGATGGAAGTCTAGGGCACATGTGCGGGTTCATCGTACTGGAAATTTTTTTATATTTGAGTGTCTCGATCCAAATGATTTGGACGGACTCGTGAGACAATATACGACAACTTTTGAAGGCCGCCTTATTAATTTAAGGCGTTATGATGTCAACTTCATTCCCCAACAAATTAACTTTTCAACTTCCAGAATATGGGTTCGTGTATATGGCCTACCTTTTCAGTTTTTAACTGAAGCTTGGGCAAGACGAATCTTTTGTCATTTGGGTTATTAGGATCAATTAGAACCAATAACAAATGGCAGACTCCCGGAAAGAGCTGAACTCCGGGCAAGGTTGATGATTGTTGTGTTGCTGCCGCTCATTCCGGGCTGCTACATTCCACTCTCAGATGGGCGTGTTATCTGGGTATATTTCAGGTATGAGGGTGTCTTCTGTTTTTGTAAGAGATGTGGTTGTGTGGGTCATAACTCAACTAATTGTCGATTTAGAATTGATGTAGCAACAAGGAGTTTAGCTCGACGTCTTGAGGAAGTGGAAAGGGATGGTCTAAGGGTATTACATGGACCCTTAGATTATCCCTATTATACTAATTATGTGCAAGGATTGCCTGACATTTATAGGTACAGAAACATGGCTGTCAATTTAACAAGGATGGAGGAGCCAGAGGATTTGCCTTTGGTAGAGCAACAGCAGTTTCAAGAAGCGTCGGACTTCGAGTTTAACTCGGATTACAGCAACGACACGGTGTATTTCTCGGGCTCAGATAGCTCGAGTGGAAGTGAGGTGGAAGATGGGAACGCTAGGGAATCGAGGATTGGTGGTGCAGCGCTGCGGTTGTCCCCTGGAAGGAGATTGGGGCTTCACCAAGACCCCTATGCTGCTTACACAATGCCAAATTTAAACACACCGGCTTCACCTCTTCAATTAGGACAGGGTTCGAACCCATCTCCAAACACAAACAGTAACCAAATTTACCCATCTCCAAACACAAACCATAACCAAGTCCCTTCTTTAAACCAACTTAACCAAACTCCAACGAGATAAGGTTTCCGACCTTATGGCGCTTTTCGAAGGGGTCCAATCAGCTCGTACTATTTTCCTCTTGAAAATTTTAACCCACCGTCACAACCCAGATTTGGATCCTCGAATTTTGAGGTGGGGGAATTGTCGGCGGCGGCGGCAGAAAGGGAAGAAGGAGAAGCAACACCGCGTACTTTGTTCCAGGCTCTTGGTATCAATATTTGGGCTGGAAATTCAGAAACTCAGGGTGGTCAAAGATCGGGTTTGTTGCAAGATATTACAGAGCAAGGAATCTCGGCGGAAAACGGCGGCAAAAATACAGGGGGGACAACGCCCTAATGCTACCAGAGCCTCTGCCTATGGTAAATAATCAAGCTTTTGATGATTATTTGGATGCTAACCATCTAAACTTTGTTGAAGCAGGGAGGCGTTTTGTGCTATCTCTAACTACCTCCCGAGTTGGGAGACCATATCAGGGAGCTAGGGCTCGTTATGTTCCTGATTGCCCAAATTCTTTTGGGAGTGAGTTCATTAATCTCCCTTTAACCGAGTTTGATCTCCCTTCGCAAACAGGGATTGATGAGTTAATAAATCGGCTACAATCTGACATGAATAATTGGGGAATAAAAAGGCAGAGAACGGTGGAAGACACTCCACTTAGATCGTGTGATGAGGATAATGTGCGTGCAACCTCTTATGATTTGGGCTGGGCTGAGAAGAAGAGATTGAAAATTCTTAATAGATGGGCTGAGAAGGGAGGCTTTAGCATTTGGCATCGAGATAAGAACAATGCTTTTGAGTTCAGATCAAAGGCGTTATCGGACGTCGACACGGCTCGGTTGTGGGGTGTGAGTCCGAGTGCTTCTCTTACTAGGCGTGTGGGAAAGAAACGGGCTACTACTAGTTCTTCTTCTTCTTCGGGCCCAACAAAGAAACAAAAGAGTGGTGATGAAGTAACTTCAAGAATATTTTTAGATTTGGATGAGTTTGACTTCGAGGTTCAACAGATACTTGCTGATTCAATGGAGATTAATGATGGTGAGGCGGCTGCACCGGATCAGCCCCCGATGGATTTATGAAATTCATCTCGTGGAATTGTAGGGGGCTAAATGACCCACTAACCCCTACTTATCCCTATTTAGTGTGGTTGATTACTAGTAAGGTGCCTACTTTTATTTTTTTGTCGGAAACTAAGATGTCTTTTAGTAATGTTAGTAGTCTTGTAGCTAAGTTCTCCCCAATTTTTTCTCGTGGGGTGGACTCGAATGGTAGTAAGGGTGGATTAGCCTTGTTTGGGTGGTATCAAGGGGATGTTTCTTGTATTGTTTCCTCTCAAAACGTTATCTTTTGTAAGCTCGTTGAAGCTAATGGAAGTAGTAGGCATGTTTTATTTTTGTATGGCGAGTTTAAGTGATAAACTTGGGGGGTCTCTACGGATAAAGGGTTTGGATGATTTTGTAGATTGGCTTTTGCAAAATGGGATTTGGGAGGTACCTTTTTCAGGGCCCAGATATACATGGTCAAATAAACGGCAAGGGGATCAACTAATTATGGAAAGATTGGATAGGGCATATGCAACTTCGGAATGGTTTCATGATTTTCCGGAGGGTAGAGTTGTTCATGAGCCAATCATGGCTTCGGACCATGCCGCTATCTTGTATGATACAACAACTACGACTACTCAATCGAATAGACCCTATCAAATAGAAACAGGGTGTCTATCTTTGCCAGAAGTGGTTCTTATGATTGAGGAAGCTTTTGATATGCCGTGTGAGGGATCGCATATGTTCCGCTTAGTGCAGCGGTCGAAATGGTTGAGAAACAAATTGCAGGGTTGGTGCTTACATAATAAGAAAATGTGGGGTGTATATTGGAGAGTAAATTCTCTGGTTCTGGCGTCTCATAGTGCTAATATTAGCACGGTTTAACAAGGTTCGGATTTTGTGGCTATGGTGAATGAGACTTTGGATACATCCACGCTAGGTTTTACTTACTGACAACAAAGGATGAAAGAGAAATGGATAAAGTGTGGTGATATGCCGTCTTCCATGATGTTCAATAGGGTCAAACAAAGGCAGAAAAGGAGGGAAATCCTTACCCTTCGAGATAATAACGATGAGTGGATAACAGGTCAGAAGGAAGTTCAATCACTCATTAAGGCCTCTTTGATGGAGGTGTTTCATCCAGTTATTGATGATCCAGATGGGATCGGTGAAAGAATTGATTTGGCCTTTCGGGAGCTTGATATTCCCCGGATTGAGGAAACGGAGAAATTACGGCTAATTAAGCCCTTCACGGGCCAGGAGATAAGAAAGGCGATGTTCTCCATCCATAGGTCGAAGTCCCCGGGGCCAGACGGTTTTATAGCAGAAATTTTTCAGCAACATTGGGAGAAAGTGGGGGCAACAGTGGTTACGGAAGTCCAATCCTTTTTTAACAATGGTTACTTGTTAAAGGAATTTAATTCCTCAATACTAGTCATGATTCCCAAAGTGGAAGTTCCGGAGGTGGCGGCTCACTTTAGGCCGATTAGTTTATGCAACACGGTCTATAAATGCATAGCCAAGTGCATGGTAAACAGAATGAAGGGTCTCCTTCAAAACCTCATTTCGGATTCACAGCATGCTTTTGTCCCGGGAAGGTACATGGAGGATAATATTCTTCTAAGTCACGAGTTGCTTTACTTGATCAATACTAATAAAGGGGACTCTTATAAAGCGGCTATCAAGATAGATATGTCAAAGGCATATGATAGAGTTAACTGGCTCTTTCTACTAAAGGCCTTACAGGCTTATGGATTCCCGCCAAAGTGGGTGCATTGGATCTCTCAATGTGTTTCGACGGTGTCGTACAGAACTTTGGTAAATGGGCAGGTTTCAGAGTTATTCAAGCCTAGCTGTGGCTTAAGGCAGGGAGATCCGCTGTCTCCTTACATGTTCTTATTCTGCATGGATGTGTTATCAAGGATGTTGACGATGGGGGAAAATCTAGGGCAAATTAAGGGCCTCAAAGTCACCCGGAGATCGCCTGCTATTTCACATATATTTTTGCTGACGATGTTATGATTTTTTTGTAGGTTACAGAGGAGTCATGTCAAAACCTAATGAATATTATTGACAGGTTTGGTGATATCTTAGGGCAGCGTTTAAACATTGGAAAATCTTTTGTGAAATTCAGTAAAATGGTGCCAGTGCACAAAGTAGAGGAGTTTAAAAGGATTCTAAAGTTTGGCCAGGTTCAGAATTTGGGGCTCCATCTAGGTGGTCCTATTGATCTCGCTCGACGAAAAAAGGACTCTTTCCCGTTTTTAGTGGACAAAGTGGTGTAGAGGATTATGAATTGAGGTACAATGAGGATTTCTCAATCAACAAAGCTAGTTTTGATCAACTCGGTTTTAATAAGCATTTCAACTCATGTTATGAAATGTTTCAAGCTTCCAGGGTCAATAGTTAATAAAATTGACTCTCTCATTGCAAGGTTTTTTGGGGCCAGGAATGGAGAGAAGGGTATGCATTGGATTGGGAAGGACACCTTACACCTCCCGAAGGGAATGGGAGGGCTTGGTATTCGGGCAATGGAAAACCTTAATGATGCTCTTCTCTTCAGGAAAGTGGCTAGGATGCATTGTAATCCTCAACTTCTGATAGCTCGCTCTTTTTCTCTGGTGCATGCATGCACAATGTGTGATGGAAGAACCTCGACCGCAATAAGGGTTAACGCTTCATGGGGAAGAAGGGGATTCCATAGTGTGGCAAATAAGTTGGTGTCTGGCTTTGCATGGAAAATTGGGAATGGTGAAAAGGTTAAATATGCTAGTATGAGATGGATGAATGGTGAGGTGTCTGTCCTTAAGTCTAATCAGGTGCTTAGTGGAGTATGGTCGGGGAAGGTAAGAGACTTAATGATCTCTTCCCATGAAAGAGGATGGGATGCTGGGGTAGTTAGGTAAAAGTTCGAATGGGACTCAGCAAGACAGATTCTAGAAATGGAGATTCCTGCTACAAACAAGGAAGATTTTTTGTATTGGCAAGGTCATAAATCTAGGGTCTATACGGTCAAGACAGGCTACGCGTTCTTATGTCAACAGAAAAGGGAGATATCTAATGTTACGAGGGAGGATGCCTTTTTCAAGCTGATTTGGAAGTTGAGGATTCCCCCAAAATGGAGCATGTTCCTATGAAAGCTGATTTTAAATGGCTTAGCTATTAAAGCAAATTTGCAGCATAGGGGGATTCCTGTAGATGGTTGTTGTGGGGTTTGTGAGGACAATGTGGAGGATTTGCAACACCTTTTCCGTTTATGCTCTCTGGCTAGGTATGCTTGGCTTAATTGTCCGTTGCATATCAGCTCTGATATTGATAGGTCTACTTCGTTGCGACAATGGAACCAGAGATATATCCTGCTGTTTTATAGCGAGGATGGGATTGGTAGTGATCGTGTTACCACTTTTATAAGTGTGTTATGGGGTCTGTGGATGGCTAGAGATGGAAGAGTTTTCATGAATGAAAATGACCATATCCCAGCTCTTATGCGATATTTGGAGAAGGGCAACAAGGATTTATCTATTTTCTTGAAACCGGATGTGAGGATTTTGGGAGTGATACAGGAGATGGAGGCCTTTGGGGGACCTCCGCCATGCTTCCAGAGAGCAAGTATAGGAAGCAGAACTGAAGAGCCAACTAACGATCTTGACAATAATCGGGAAGTCACAATCATGTGTGATGGTTCGTGGCATAAACAGTCGGGGAATGCCGGTTTTGGGTGGGCTTTTGCTCTTCCGGGTAAGGATTATGAAGCTGGTGGGGGAGGTTTTTGCAAAGTAGGATCGAATCTATATACATAGCTCATGGCATGTCTAGGAGGGATTCGATGGGCGATTGGTAAAGGCTTCAGGAGAATTTGGGTTTATACAGATTCAAGCGAGGTGGTGAATTTGATTCAGAATCCGCAAGGTGCTGATATGAGGTACTACTGGACTATTCAAGAACTTCGACAACAGGGGGAGCAACTACAAAACTGTATGGTTTGGAAGGTTAGCAGGGATCAAGTCCAAAGGCTCATGTCTTGGCAAAGGAGTGCAGATCCAATTTAAGTAGCTTTTGTGTTACTTAAGTTATTTACCTTCTTCCGTTTAGTTTGCTATTGTCAAAAAAATAAATAAATAAAACAAAAAAAAATAAAAAATAAAGCTCCTATATTTTCAAGCTACAATATACTACAATGGTTAGCAGCAATCACTTGTAGCTTGCTAGAAAAAAAAAAAAGATAAGAATATATTATATTATCCGTGTGTCCTGATCTAAGTGGAAGATGCTTAAATTTAGAAAAACAAGCAGCTTGTTTGAGCAGGGCTGCTCATATAAGCAACATTCAACAATTCAATCCAATGGTAAGCTACATGTTTATAATTTTAATTAATTTACAAGCAGGTCCCTTTTCCATACCATTGGAGATGCTCTTTAATGCCATATTTTGAAAATCATATTTTAAAATTTATTTTTATTGGCTGTGATTTTGTGTTCTAAATTCGAAGAAAAAATAAACACTTAAATAATTTCGAACAGTGATTTTTGCATTGTTATTTAATGCTTCTTCTAACTTTCCTTTGTTTTGCAGGTGATCTTTTTTATATGCTTCAAAACATTTGATCATCGTGGTTGCATATCAGGTGTGGGATCTGCTTTATATATTCCTAAACATCCTTAATTAATCTTGCGTACAAGGTGTTCGACGATATGCCTAAACGACCAAACTACCAAAATTTGTCATTTTTGAGTTTGATTTACTAGCAATAACATTCAGCCTTTTAATCTTCTTGTTAATTAATTAGTTTATATTAGGAATATGGCTCTCTTATCATCCAGAATTCATCAACAATTTTGTGGCCCTTTCCTCAGATTTTCATCCTTGTATTCAGGAATTTCCCATAAACCAGTTGAAGAATCAATAAAAATAGCAATTTCAAACAAAACATATGAACAAATCCCTGAAATCTTGAAAACCTCAGAAGAATCCTGCAAGAAACAAAACCCCTTTTCATTTCTTTCCTCATTCACATTGATTCATAGAACCCAAGTAATTGATGAAATGTTACAGTCTTTCATATCTTTTAAACCTCATTCCTGCCTTAAAACTACATATCACTATCTGTTAAGTTACACCCTTCAGAGCTCTCACCCTTTTCCGCTTGCTCTAGCGGCCCTCCAACGTACACTTCGTTCTGGGTGTACCCCTGTACCTCAGACTTACCTTTCTCTGTCTTCTGCTTGGATGTATCACCAGCAGCAATTTGAGTCAGTGCCCAGCATTTTTCTAGCTATGAAATCAATTGGGTATTGCCCCGATTGTGGAACTTTTAACTTCATCATTAAGTCTCTTTGTGCTGTTGATCAGTTAGAAGAGGCTATAGAGGTGCTTAGGGGAATGGTTGAGGTAGCATGTATTCCTGATGCTGAGAGTTACTGTACTATTATAGGTGCATTATGTGGAATCCGGAAGACAGACAAGGCATTGGCATTAATGAAGGAAATGGTAGGAAAATTAAACTTATCACCAAGGCAAGGAATATTGGTACGGTTAGTGGCTGCTTTACGTGCTAACAAGGAGATATGGAGAGCGGCTGAGGTGATTGAGTTCCTAGTAAAGAAGGGGTTCCATGTTGGGTTTGAGAGCTTTGAGCTTCTTCTTGAGGGTTGCTTGGAGTGTAATGAGTTCATTCTAGCAGGAAAGATGGCAATGCTAATGACTGAGAAAGGTTACATACCATACATTAAGATCAGGCAAAAGGTGGTTGAAGAATTGGCTGGAGTTGATGAGTGGAAGCTTGCTTGTGCAGTTAGGCACAGATTTGCAGAATTGAACTCATAGCTTTATCTGATGAAAGTGAAGAAAGGGCTACGATGGGTGATGAAGAATAGTCCGCGCTGCATCAATTTTGTTCAGGTGCTCTGTACTGTATGCATACTTCATGCAAAGTAAATTATAACTTGAGATGTTTTCTCAACCCGTCTTGCAGTCTTGCTGCATAGTGGACAAATTTATATACAAGGAATTTTTCTGATGATATTGTAATTTTCTGTTATACTGAGTGCTTCTTTCTAAAGATTAAATTTATATTTTGGTGAGAAAAATTGCTGCATTAGTTTTCTGATTAAATGTATCATATCTTATCTCATCTCTTTGCTTTTAAGTGATTCCTCTGCTAGCTACAACCTCTGAAAACAAACCTCATTATGTTTTTCTTGTCAATATGCTCTACCTTCCATGATTTCAATTCTTAAGAAATTACGGAGTATTTGCACTGTTTTTTGTATTGCACATCTTTGCCTGTTCCTACGTAAAAACACATTAATAATGTTATCAATTTTCATGCCTCTATATCAGAAAACTGCCTATAATGTGCTTTAATATTTGATGGAGTTTTCAACTGTAGATCTCAAAGGTCCAATAACACAACACTGTTGATATCTGCTTCATTGGTCCAGAAAGTATTATAGGCTATGAGTAGTTTGTATGTCATGCTAGTTGATTCCAACCATGTACTAATGTATATCTTGGATGATTTTTGTGACCAGACTGTTTGTATTGGCTGATATTGAGCAATGTAATTAATACTGTTAATGGTCTGGTGTATTATATACCAAAAGCTTGCCTTGAACAGCATTGAATCATTTTTCTGCAGTCGAACAAGTACATAAATTGCTTTATATGCCTTGTTTGCGATGTTTTTCCTCTTCCTGACAGATAATTGCAAGTATTTTACAGAACAAATGTTGTAGCCAGCTAAAATAAGGGATAGTTGAAGTTTCAATCTGTATGTGTTGTAGGACATGTGCTAGTAATAGTATACCATCTTTTAAACTTTCTGGTAAGTGTGGTAAGGTCCTATACCAACGTTTCAACTTTTATGATAGTATGATAAAGGATATTTTAACTTACATTTAATTGGTTAATGCAATAAGATGTCTACTTCGGAAACATATCAAAGAGATTAAATTGGATAACTGGCTTGCATTGCTATGCCGCACAGACCTGATTTTCTTGATGTACCACGTTTCATCCTTATGTATCCTTGTTCCCCCCAATGAGTACCCCATGAATTCTTCACTATCCAGTACTTGTTGCCCTCCTCTTCTCCATATCCAACAGCAGTTACGCCATGATTAAGACTTGTCCCACAGAAGCCGTCAAATATACCACTGTCGTAGAGCTGGAATTCATAGCCTCCAGCGTCAATAGCAACTGATACAGGCTGATTGGCAACTATGGCTTGCAGGGTCTCTTCATCATCTACAGGTACAGTCCTATGACCTTCTATTTTTACAGCATGATGCTTTTCTTTTTGTTCATTACATCTGCCATCCCTTCCTGTGTAAGGGTACTCTGTTTCAGTGGCTACACCACCATTTCTTTTTATATAATCAAAGGCTGCTTCCATGAACCCTCCTCTGCAGCCTAAATTTTCTCCACGGTCACAATCTACTAGTTCTTGCTCCGACAATGAAACCAACTTCCCGGTTTTTATTTTGTGGAGTCCTTCGACTGCTGCAATTGCAGAAAAAGCCCAGCAGCTTCCTGTGAAAGCCAAAGTTATGTTATGATCAATATAGTACATGTTTTCTAGCAGACAAATGGCATTAAATAACAAAAGTTCCCTTTTTATTTTGTTTTTTACTTGCAAAAATGTGCTCCTTGTTCACTTATAATTTTATATAAGAAAAATTTGTATCCCAATTTCACTTGTAACTCTATAGTCTATACTTCTCTGACTGATTTTCTTTTAATTGCTTTTGCATAGAGCTTCCAACCATGGAGAAATAGTTTCTGATAAAATTATTCCATCTTTTTTTTTCTCGAGTTGTGTTTGAGGTATGGAAGTGAAAAAATATATACATTTTTTTATTATTTTGAAGGAAGAACAATTTTAGCACACTTTCAAGGGGATACAATTTTAGCACACTTTCAAGGGGATACAAGTTGAGAGGATACCACATGCGCCCTGGTCCTTGACATGAGTAACTACATGCCTGTCTCTCCAGTCAATCTCTGTTGGCAAACTAAGGCGGTCAGTTTTATTGATGGCGGCTGGATCCCTTTCTGGTGTTATGTTTGTCAATCGACCTGTGAAAAGGGAATTGAACTCTTCATTTGTCATATCTGCGAAGCTGTTATCAGTGAGCTTGAAGGTGAGGTTCTGAGAGTTTATATATTCAACAAACTGAAGATTGGATTGATAAATTCCAAAGCGAAGCTCCCATTCATTTTTGTCCTTGTATTGTTTTCCATGAGATTGCATCCAATTCCTGTACCTCTTCTCCATTATGCGCGGGTCATACTCATAAGTTGGTGGTTCTACTTCTCCACAATCTGCATAAGAAAATATCCACAAAGTGCAGGCGAGGAGGAGAATAAAAGTGGTCTTGAAGACAGTGGTAAAGGCCATCATCAGATTTATTTCCAACTTCAAAATTGTATTTGGAGATTGTATTTGGAGAGATGAGTTTATAGAAGAATGATATTGTTCAGTAACATATGCTTGAATTCTCAGAGTTCTGTTTTAAGTTGTGTTTATTTCTTCTTTCATGTATTCTGCATTTACAAGTTCTATTAAGGCAAGTATCCTTGTAAACCATGTTTGTGTGACCCCCTAAACTTTCCCTTTACGTCTTTAATATGCCACACCTTGTCAAATAAATCAATAATTCATTTTTTGAAATTTTCTATTATAACCTAAGGATATCAAATCATCATGTTTATAATTCAAGATCAATAAAAATATCTTCAACAATTATCAGTTATTTTTCTAGAGCAATTGCTAAGCCTATGGGACTATGAGAGTGTTTTAAAGCTTTCAATCAATATTATATGCAAACCCTCAATCTTAACCATTAGGCCAAGACCTCATGTCTTACAAGTTATGCAATATAATTATTACCATGATCAAGTTTATTAATTGTAGGTAAGTAGTAAGGCTTAACCAAACAATTACTCGGGTAGCAATATCATAAAAACCTATCAATTTGAAATCAAAGACTCATTAAACCAACCTTTGCCATTCATAGTATATCCCTTGATTCCCAAACAAACCCTAGAAAGAAATAACTTAATCACGAAATATATAATTACAACAAAATCAAATAAAGAATATAAAAGAAAAAAGGCTTAAAAAAACAGTTGTCACCAAATTGGTAAACCCACAATTTATTGTTTTGATGATTAATTAATTGACCCAATTGAAGTAACGAGGATTTAACATAAAGGATGAAGGAATAAGATCAAGTCTCTAAGAAAATGGAACATAGGAGATGGTAGAATAGGCTCAACATCAATAATTTTACATACAGCTTCACCCTCATTAACGAAGCTTGTTAGTGAAAGAATATTCAACCAAAAGATCATAAACTAATGATTTCTTATTCACAGACTCTACAACCAATGATTCTTCCTTCTTCACTGCACCCTTATGTCCCACATTTTTTCATCTTGACCCCTATAGGCAGCCAAAAAAACCTTCCTCTAATGAACTACCATTCTCAATAAATCCATCATCATTGGCATCATAAATAGACTCCATGATACAATAAGGTGATTCATGACAATTTTGCAAATCAACTTAAAGGAAAGGGTACATACAGCCATTATTGCAAATAAGTAAGAAATAAAAAATTTGTAGCAGCAACAAGTTAGGGACAAGAAATTTTATATCATCTAACTACATAGAGCACAAAATCAACGTCATTACCAATTAATAGCACTTCTAATAGGTTTGCCTTGGGAGATCACTCAAGCCCAACAAACAATGGCTTAATTAAGTCATGTTTTATAATCATTAAAAAAATATTATTCTAATTTGTGCTTCTTTTTAGATTTAATTTTTCCTTAAATTATCTTGAGTTAACGTTTTGGTAATTAATTGATTGTAAAGATATTTTCCTATAAAATATAATAATTCAAACAACTTAAAGGGAGAGTTAGTTTTAAATTTCTTGTATCTATAGCTATTATTTATGGAAAAAGAACGTTCTTGGGAGTCTTAGGGTAGTAAGGTATATCAAGATGTCCTGGAGCTTGTCTGATTGTTCAAGTGTTCTTCGACTCCGCCTAGCAAAGGGATGTCTGAGAGCTCCGCTTGCACGTCCGAGAGCTCGGCCTGCAAAACAAGGAAGGTTAGCTGCCTCAGGGGTGCGACCCGGGAAAGCTCCTGCGATGCTTAAGTCAGGAAAGGAATTCTCTAGTGACAGAAAGTAGAGAGAGAGTACTTTAGAGAGAGAAAGTAGAGAGAAGGAGAGAGAATTAGAAAAAAGTTACCATCATTAATGATTGGAGAGCTATTTATAGTTGAACTTTTAGGTGGCAGAAGTTTGTACTTAAGTGGACAGATTAAGGGTAAATCTGTACTTTGCAATGATTAGTGTTGGGCTGGATCATGGAGGGGTATTTTTGTAATTTTAGGTCATTGGGCTTAAGACAATGGATTTGGCCCAAACATTTAGCCCCACGCTTGATGTGAGAACGAGATCGCATGAAGTTCGGATGTCACACGGAATTAGTATAATTGAGGTAGAAATATGAGTCGAAATGGATTTTTAGGCCTACCCGAGGGCTAAAACAAGCCTCAAGTGTACATGTAGGCGTCGTTCGAAGTGCGCCTACATTAAGCAAGTGTAAATATGCTTGGCACTCATAGGAAGTGAGAATTGACATATACAATTAGGGACAAGCAAGGAAAGTAGGGAGCCGCCAACAAGTTTGTAAGGAACTTGTAAACCGTTCACGGATCATAAAAGGCAACCACGAATAAAGGGACAACGATAGGAAGCAACATTTGACCCGTGAAGGTTACGCCTGAAGGAATTATGTCTTCGATAAGTGCAATTACTAGATATATCAAGGATCACTATTATGGAGATAATTAGTTCATTTTATAGGGTCGTCATTGTCTGGTGCTAGATAGGGCAAATGATCTTTGGGCTAGTTAAATAGTCCAAAGCCCAATATAATGGATCCTACAAGGTCACATAACAAAGTTATTGGGTCAAAAAAATAAGAAGCCCATTAACGGGCCTCATGAGATCATGACATACCATAAGAAGTGTTGGGATAGAGTAGTTTGACTAGGACAAGGAGTTTGAGCTTGACATGGACTCTTATTTAGAGATGTGATCTATAAATAAGATCCATGACTTAGATTGACAAAAGATTTCACAAGTCAGTCAATTCTAATTTAAGCAACCAAGTCCCAAACCCTAATCCCCCTCTCTCTCACACACGACCTTCCCCTCTCTCCCCCTATCCGTACGGCCGGCCACCCCCACTGGTGGCTCGTGGTGTTCGTGGTGGTGGATCGTGATTAGTTCGTGTCTCACTTCTCTATTGAAGGTTGATTAAAAGGGTTTAATCACAACTAACTAGCATTAGTGGAGGTTTGATATGTGCCTGTGGACTAAGTAGAGGAATCACACTTGGGGTTCTTTATCTCCCATTGTTCTTGCTCGATTAAATGTGGATTTGCTCTTCAAAGGTATTATTATTTATTCCTTATGTGTTATGCATTGATCTTTGTGTTTAGATGCTTATGAATATGATTCATGCAATTCCGCTTATTAGTATCTAAAGTCATAAAGTGGTATGTATCAGTTAGCCTATGCATGTA